CCGCCCCACTGCCCGGCTGCTGCTCTCGTGCCTGGGAGAGACGCTGCAACAGAGCACTGAGCTGCTCCTCCGCACTGCCCTGCTGCTGCTCTCGTGCCTGGGAGAGACGCTGCAACAGAGCACTGAGCTGGACACCGCGCCTGCCCCGACGCAGCTGCGGAGGGCTCCTGGCAGCAGCGGTCCCCACACCAGCACAGCCGCACTGGCGTGAGCTGGTGGAGAGTGCAGATGGTCACCAGTCTGACCCCCTGCTCCTCCCAAGATGGCATACCCTCACAGCAGGACGAGCACCTCAAGGAATGGCAGCCCTACCACGGAGCGCAGCGGCCCTGCTCTCTGCACAGCCTTTTTTACGCTTTCACCATGTTGACTATGCGGAAGCAGAAAGCTCAGATTATCCTGCTGTGAAAAAACTGCTGGTAACCGTTCAAAAGCAGCTAAAAAAGATTCAAGGAAGAATCAGACATACTTACGGACACCAGTCCATGACACAAGTCATCAGTCATGCCCATGATGTGGGACAATGCTCAGCCCCGAGTCCACAGCGGGAACCAATCACTGACCATTAAGACATTACGACGGGACCTCACATAGAGGCGCATTATCTTTTATTTGCTTGCTGCCAGTTTCCACCCTAATGCAGGCTGCCAGGCAGGACAGTGGCCTGCGTGTGACTCCAGTCTAGCGCTCGCTCCAAGCGCCTAGGCAGCAGACAACCCAAGCTCCGGGCCCAGAGTCACCCCCCCGCGTCTGCCCTGGGTGCGTGGTCCTGGTGACGAGCTGCCGCGGCGCTCTGAGCTGCCCTGGTTCTGGGGAGCAGTCCTCTTGCTGGGGCAAGAGAGACAGAACGAGCTGCCGAAGGAGGGTACCACAGGCTGGGAGACCCAGTGCCACCCAGTCGTGTGGCAGGCAGGGGACCGTCTGCCTGAAAAGGAGCGTGTGATTCAGCTCCACAGTTTGTACTGAGCACAGCGATGTATGAGTACCCTTTCCAGAGACATCCCCCTCTCCTCAGAACGGGGTATACAGCTGTTTGCTACTGAAACACCCGACTGGCTGCAGAACCTCAGGGTGCGTGCTGTCTCCACACAGCAGCCCGCAGACACGGAGCACGGTGCTGCCGGCACGGGTGCTGCCCACAGCCCCTGTGGACCCGCAGCACACACAGCCTGGCCTCCCCAGGAGATGCTGATGCAGGGAGGCCCATGAAGATCACAGAACTGACCCAGCCTTTGGAAGCCCAACTTTGCAATCAGAGCAGTCTTCTAACATAGCAGATTACATAAAAAATAAATACAAGGTAAGTTTTTGAAAAGCCAATCAAAAAGCCAGAAAATCTACTGTACAATATCCTACGTGGAAGACATTTTGACCCAGCGTGTGCCCGGGAGCAGCAGGTTCTTGTTTTCTGTGCCTGACAGCAGCACTGAGCCAGTGGATACTGCACCCATTTACCAGCTGAGGAAGGACACAGGGACTTGGAAAGACTGGATTCAAGCTGGAGACACAGAGGTCGGCTTGCTCACGTGACTGCAGATCACAGATCCCCCTCTGCTCTGCCATGCCCCTCCTGCCTCTGCCGTGCTCTGCTAACTCCTCGTGTGGGGTCTTCACTGCTCCCTTCCCACGGCGGCACTGGAGCAGCCTAAGCAGCCTGCTGCCACGTGTCCCAGCAGTGGCAGCACTGCAGATCACTGGGGAGGTATTTTTCCTGCTCTTGGATCCGGTGCAAGAAGCTCCTAGCACCAGGAGGAGCTACTGTGTGCCAGGTCCGTGCAGTGACAAATGAAGTTTGGTAACTGACACTTCACTGGCAAATGAAGTTCCATGTTGATAAATGCAAAGTAATGCACATTGTAGGAAAAAAAATTACATTACTCCAACACCTGACAGGGCTCTAAATTAACTGCATCAACCCAAGACAGGGTCTGGATGTGACTGCAGATAGCGGAAGACCTCTGCCCAGCACAACACCATGGTCCTTGACCAGGGTGGGGAATACCAGAAAACACTCTGACGCCCTCGCACGCATCCCACGGCACCATATCGTCACTACGCGCAGCCTCAGGCACTCCACCTGCCTCGGATGCTACCAAACAGGCAAGGACAGCAAGAGTGAGCATGTGTCTGAAAAAACTCCCTATGAGGTGACGGAAAAACTGAGATGGCTCAAAGATTCATGGACTGGGCACCCATGGAGGAGGGTGACAATCATCTGGTCTGCCCACCTCACTGCAGAGGGCAGGGAATTCTGCCAGGGGCCGGACCACACATGTCTTGCAGAAAAGTAATGGATTGTATTTCAAGACTTTGAGCAGTGGTTAGTCCACGTTACTGCTTCATAAAGTGTTCCCACATTTAATTACTTTTTCCACTACGAAATGGTTTTCAGCTCTGTGTAACCTGAGATCCCAGCCTCCGCACCTTCTCACTTCCCCATCAGCTACGCTGAACAGCCTTGCAGGACCAGACTCCTTTCTCCGTAAGTACTGAAAACATCAGTGCTTTGCTTCTCAGTCTTCATTCTGGCAAGCTGAATACCTGAATGTCCACATCACAAATACGTTCATCAGACCCAAGTCAGTTTGGGGTCCTTCTTTACAACTCTCTCCAGTATTTCCACACTCTCTTGGAGTGTTATTTACAGGATGGGACGCAGTACTTTAGCACGCGCTTTTTTAGTCTCACATGTAGGTGCAAAGTTATTCTACTCTTTGGTATCCCACTTTTCAGACATATAAAGAATACATGTCTCTCTTTTTGCCAAAGCACTGGACTGAGAACTGCAAATCGGAAGCTGATGTGGGGAAGGGCAGTAATGTGTCTGAAGAGTCAACATATACCCACAGCTAAAAACACATCGGTTGTTTAACAAAATGCAAATGCAGATGATACTTCTTGCCTTCCATGAGACATCCAGTATATATTATAACTCAAATGATGCTCAAGATGCCTGAATCAACAACTGCAAAGGGGAAGTCTTTCCTAAACTTAGTGGTTTTCAGATGAAGATAACTACAACAGAAAAGGCTGAAGAACAGAACTGCCGAACTGCTGCGCAGATCATCGCCTCCATGTTTCCAAGAGAGACAGCTCAGGAAGAGTTGTTCTGCTGTGGGAAACCTGGGTTGCTGGTCTGCAGGCTGACCTGCGATTTGGAGCAAGAAGCCCGGACAGCCGCTGCATGCTTTGTTATGTACAGGCTAACAAATGCACGGGCTAAAATTTTCTGGTTTATTTTACAGTACCTATTGGTTTCAAACATTTGTACCTAAGCCCTCTCCTCCTGCCTTTAGCCATCTGAACCTTTATTTTGGTTTACTACAAAAGCTTAGTGAGCACTGTGGGACAGGATAACCTAGGATAAAGTCAAATCTTAAAGACTGAGGATCACTTTTTTCACTGACGCTAACCATAGCTGTAGGCTTTGGAGAACGTGGTTGCCAAGCTAATCTCTACTTGGACAAATCTGGATGGCTTTTCACAGCAAAATGCATCCCCTGTGCCTTGCAGGCGCCCTGCCAAGCTTTGGGTCCCTCTTCAGAAACGGCAGAGACACCGAAGCTTCTCAACAGAAAAACCATCAGTACTTATAGCATAGGCAAAGCAATGAACACATCTTCAACCGGTTTCCTGAAGCAGATAAACTTTTCCAAAAGTTTGAGGCAGATGGCCAGCAGAGGTCTTTTAAATGATGAAAGTCTGGCAAATTTACAAGCCAACAGAAATAGGCTCTTTCTTGTGGTAGAAAGTGTCCGCACACCTCAAGCATAGTTAAGCATACCTTAACTCTGTGGTGTGCTCTCAGCTCTGCTAACACAGTTAGTAAGTATTATTACCACTAACAGTATGTGCAGTCACGGGCATGATGGCAGTCCTGCTTCCACTGCAGGTGAGAGATCAAGGGCAGAGCAAAAAGGGCAGGTTTATCCTCTCCGCCTAAGTGCAAGCCGGCTCAGACGAGGAGTGCTCCAAGCCCCAGGTCCCTGATGAGCCCCGCCAGGACTCCCGGGTGCCCTGCTCCGAGCCAGCGGAGCTGCCCCCCAGGCAGCAGACCTTTCCTACCTTCTGCTGCCGTGCTGGGGCCATCAGGCCGAGTCGTCCCTGTGCTCTTTTTCCTGCGATGCTTCTTCCTGTTCGCATGTGGTGATGGAGGCGGCTCCAGCTTCGGGCTGGCAGCACTGGAAATGTTCGGGCTTGAGCTGAGAGAATCGGCAGTACCGTTAGCTGGGAACAAAGATAAAGAAAGTAATGTACAGCAAGACAGTGACAGTCTGCTCTTTCTAGAGACAACCAAGCGTCGTGGAGACAGCCCCAGTCCTCCGCCTGGCTCAAAATGCACACCTCCCCGAGACAGGACAGTACCTATGCTGAGCCCCACTGCACAGGGCAGCTCCGAAACCTGCTCCAGCTCAGGCTTCTTAGGCAGGGTCAGGCTGGACATGCTCTGCACTGGGATTCATCCGGGATGGTCACACAGAGACAGAACTGGCACCTACGTGGCCAGGACAAGCACAGTGGCATCACTCTGGGCAGCCTGACATGCCAACCCCACAGCGCATGTCCCTGAGGTGGTCCTGGCCACCCTCAGCAGCAGCATCCTCCCAGAGCGACACGCGCATTCTGGGAAGGGACAGTCCCAGGAGGTGCTCTTGGGCCCCTCAGGTGCAGATGCAGGTCCCAGGATCTACACTGCTGCTGCAGAAGCATCGATCCCCCACAGCACCGCTCTGCCAGACGAGGTGACTGGGGTTGCCACACTTACGAACCTAAGCATGATGGTCTCAATAGGCTTCCGATACGGAGCTGAAGAAGCTGCATCCCCAGCAGCAACGCACCAAATTTATCCTCAATCATACTGTTCCTTACAATTAATAGCAGAATTAGAAACAATCAGGGAGCTGCCTAATTACTGTCAATTAGAGCGCGCTAATCAAGCTCCGATCACACACACACACGCTGCCGCTGCACTCACCATTAAATGTCAAATTTCATTAGAGACCAGCAACAAAATCAAAAGCCTGACATTCAATTTCAGCAGCACACACAGCGCAGGCTTCCAATCAGCATAAAAATGCAGACTCCGGGGAAGGCAACGAGGCGCAGGAGCCCTCGCTGCACTGTTAACCCTCTCCGAAATACGCTCCTGCCTCTCCAGTGTCCACCCACCCACAGGGCACGTATGGCATCTCCACTCCCAGCCTGCTTCTGTCCTGGACAGCTCGTGGTCCTCTTTGCAACAACCCGGTGTCTCCCATCAAGTCCTAACCTCCAATTTCCATGTTTCATGGCACCTGAAATTTAGAAAGCAATCACAGTGTCTCACAACAGCAGCACCCTCCAGCAGTGGGGGCTGCCTGTGACTTGGCAGCGTAGCCTCTACTCTCCCTTTTCAGCCCGGTTCAGTCAAACTGGCTCTCTGGGGCTTGGTCTGTCTCTGTGTGGCAAGACAAACCTCCAATAGTGGGTCGGAGAGGGCAAGAGGCAGCAGCCAGGAGCTGCCCGATGCAGACGTCCAGCATGCAGCCAGAGTCCCCCTCGCCAGGCTGGGAGAGGATGTGGCATCAGAGCTCTTCCTTCTCCGGCTTCTACTACATTTGACATGCACTAATAGGGTGTTTCTGCTGCTATTTATCCACAGGGAAATAGTTCACCCTTGACAATTAAGAGAGATAAATCTAATAAATTCCGACTCTATTTTTATAAATATAAATTACTGATACTGTTCAACAGGACTACGCTTAGAGCAGGTGTGAGGCACCTTCATCTCCCAGCCTGGATGTCGCAGGGGACCTGAACTTTCTCATCTGAGGCTACACGTGGTGCATGCAGCCTACCTCTGCTGCCCACCTGCTCACCGGGACGCGCCCCGGGCCAAACCACACACTGCCAGCGTCCCGCACCCTCCAGGCTCCACGTGAGGGTTTGTGTCCTTCTGCAGCTCCCATCAATGCACCTGCAGGCTGTGGTGAGCCTGAGACCCCCTGCTCTGTGGGGCTGAGATCATCCACGACCTGCTCTTCTTACTGCCCAGCAGCTAAAGGCACAGAGCTGGGGGCTTCCAGGGACCCCACTGGGATGGGGATGCGATTGCAATGGGGCAGAACGCGAAACACCTCCCTCCACAAGACGAGGTCTTGCTTGCTCTTCCTCTTTATCCCCAGCAGGACAGAAGTGAGCCCCTCTGACCCACCCAAGGACTTCCAGTTCCCCATCTCACCATAGGAACCCTTCCACAGCACGTGGGACCTCCCAGTTCCTCCCTCCAAACCAGCTGGCCTCACAGGCAGCCCCTCGGTCCCCATGGGCTGTCCACAGCAGTCCTCCCATGAAGGACAAACACAAAATATACTGGAGCACATTTACACGACCTGTACATCCCGTGCCACCGCTCTCCCACGTGCTCTCCAGGTCACAACCGGAGGAGGCAGCCCATCCCTCGAAGCTGTGAGGGCAGCCTGCTCCCTCTGCGCTTTGCTCTGAGCAGAGAAATATTCCCCACTCTGCCCCACCATTCAGAGCTGGGAACACAGTGGAGAACTCAGATCTGGGCTGCACAGACACAGCGGCACAGCCGGGGTTCAGGCATGAGGGCGAGGCACGCCTGCTTCGGCTCGGCTCAGCCCTGCAGCTGAGGAGCGGACGTGCTGCTCAGCTTGGCACGCCGTGCTGTACGGGAAGCACTGCCCGCCCCCCAAAAGCCCTCTCCCTCCTGACACTGAGAACCCCCTTCTTCTGCCGGCCGCCGGCCGTGCAGATAGACAGCCCGGCGAGCTGCCAGCCTGTGTGAACAGCGC